ATATTTAGTAAGATGTATATATGTATATAGATGTTTTTAGTGCTTTGGTGTTTTTAGTATTTTTAATGTTTTTAGATTGTTTTTATGTCTCCTAATTTAAATAATGTACTGTATCTTACTTTTGCTGGTCAGTGACCGTAATAAACATTTTATTATTAATATGCCTCATTTCTCCCAACAAGGAACCCAAAGTGGCTCAAAACATTAAAATTTACACAATTAAAAAACCCAGTAAGTTATATATTAAAAGATAAATTATTTATTTATTTATTTGATTTATATCCCGCCCATCTGGTCTGGTCATGGCCAAAAATATTGGCACCCTTGCAATTCTGTCAGAAAATGCAGCCCTTCTCTCAGAAAATTGTTGCAGTTGAAAATGTTTTGGTACAGGTTGCTGTCCTCTGAAGAGGCCGGCCACAGAGACTGGCGAAACGTCAGGAAGAACAACCTTCAGAACACGGCCAAAGAGCCCAAAAAACCCAGAACAACCATTTTGGTACTCACATGTTCTTTTCTTTGGTATGCGTTGGAACACAAAAAAACAGGGAAGAAAAGTCAAATCTAATACAATCTCACACAGAAACCCAAAAACACACTGGCCAAAATCATTGGCACCCTTATCTTAATATTTGGTAGCACCCCCCCTTTGGAAAAAAATAACTGAAATCAATCAGTTCCATTTATTACACCTCTCTACTGGAATTTTGGACCACTCTTTTGCAAACTGCTCCAGGGCGTTCTGAGTAGACCTTGGGTCTAGATGGGCAGAGTAGAAATCTAATTAATTAATTAATAAGGACGCCTTCTCCCAACTGCTGTTTTGAGATCTCTCCACAGGTGTTCTATGGGATCCAGATCTGGACTCATTGCTGGCCATTTCAAAACTCTCCAGCGCTTTGTTTGTAACCATTTCCGAGTGCTTTTTGATATGTGTTTTGGGCCATTGTTCCGCTAGAATACCTATGACCTCTGGTGGAGACGCAGCTTTCTAACACCGGACACTAAGTTGCGCCCCAAAATTCTTTAGTAATCATCAGATTTCATGATATACTGTTCACACAGTCAAGGCATCCAGTGCCAGAAGCAGCAAAGCAACTCCAGAACACCTTTGAACCTCCACCATGTTTGACTGTACGGACAGTGTTCTTTTCTTTGAATGCCTCATTTCTTTTTCTGTAAACAGTACTGTGATGTCCTTTACCAAAAAGTTCCTACTTTTGTCTCTACTGTCCACAGTACGTTCTCCCACAAGGATTGTGGTTTTGTCACATAGGTTTTGGCATACTCCAGTCTTGCTTTTTTATGCTTTTGTGCCAGCAGTGGTGTCCTCCTGGGTCTCCTACCATAGCGTCCCTTTTCATTCAGATGGTGACGGATAGTGCGAGCTGACACTGTTGTACCCTCTGTCTGCAGATCAGCTTGAATTAGTTGGGAAGTTAATCTGGATTTTGTATCCACCATTTGAACAAACCTTCGTTTTAATTTTTTCAGTAATTTTGCTCTTCCATCCATGCCCAGGGAGGTTAGTTACAGTGCCATGGGCTGTAAAGCTCTTGATGATATTGCACACAGTGGACACAGGAACATTAAGATCTCTGGAGATGGACTTGTAGCCTTGAGATTGTCTATGTTTTTCCACAATTTTTTCTCTCAAATCCACAGACAACTCTTTACACTTCTTTTCTCCATGGTCACTGTCACACATAACACAAAGATTGAGTCAACTTTTCTCCATCTTAACTGGTTGCTCACACCTCTTACTTGCGACAGGTGTGTCTAAATACAAATTAAAGGAGCTTGAAAAGGAATTATTTCTTACAATTTAGACAGGGTGCTAAGAATTTTGGTCAGTGCATTTTTGGGTTTCTGTATGGGATTGTATCAGATTTGACTTTTCTTCTCTGTTTTTTTGTGTTGTTCCAACGCAAACCAAAGAAATGAACATGTGAGTGCCAAAACATTTGCAACTGCAACAATTTTCTGAGAGAAGGGCTACATTTTCTGACAGAATTGCAAGGGTGCCAATATTTTTGGCCATGACTGTAAGCTACATAAGAGATACCATGGAGTTCCTAAGGAAGCTTTATTCCACATACATATAAATATTAGCCCTGTTAAATCTCTCTTATGTCTGATGAAGTGGACTTGTCCACAAAAACTCATATTAAAATAATATGAAAATTAGTCTTTAAGGTGCCACCATGTTTTTGTATTTTTTAAAAACTTTTTATTTCTATTTTACTTTTACCTATAAGAATACTTCACTTTCCCAAGCCCTTGGTGGCAGACTTATGCTTGCCTACAGAAACTCCCCAATCTCAAGCAACTGCTAACACAAAATGGACCACGCAACATTAACACAGACATGGGAACTAAACGCTACCACAGACCCAGATGCAAACTCTGCCTCCACATCTATTCTGACAACACAATTACAGGACCTAAAATATCACACACAACATCAAGGGCACCTTCACTTGTTCCTTAGCTACTGTGATCTATGCCATCTTTTGACAACAATGCCCTCTGCACTCTACAAAGGACAAATAGGACACTCTCTGCACACAAAAACAATCAATGGACATAAATCAGACGAAACCACAATATACAGAAACCTGTCTTCAAGAATTTCAATCTACCAGGACACTCTTCACAAGATATGAAAGTTCCTATTATGGAAAAGAAACACTATAGAACAAGAATACAGACGCAAACAGCCGAGATGAAATTTATACAGATGAAGGACACCCATAGAAATGGATTGAATATATGTCAAGGTTTCTCAAGCCATTACCAAATGCCATTACTTATGCTGTTATCTACTGTTATTTTCCTTCAGAACTTTCAGACCCATATTTCAGTACAAGGCTCACAGGTAAAAACTGTCTTTTATTAACACACATTATTCCTCTGCTGTCTTCCTTAACCATGTTATTGCTCACAATCTTTACATCACCACAAGCCCTCTTCTCCCACTTTTTTGCTCTTGCCTTGTTTCTGTCTTTTGTAGGAATGTTTACAGAACTAGACTTCAAAAGAACCGAACACCAAATACAGGTCACAAATTACTGCACATGTGAGATGCAAACATACAGCACTGACTCTTAAAGTCACCATGAATGTTTTACTTGTGAACCTTGTACAGTGGTGCCTCGCTTAACGATTGCCTCGTTTAGCGATGAATTTGCATAACGATGTGTTTTTTAAGAAAATAATATGCATCACATAACGATGTTTCCTATGGGCGATTTTCGCTTAGCGAAGTTTGGGACCATGCTTCACATAACGA